GGCGGGATCGTGGATACACACTGCTGAGAAGTCCCATACTCGGACGAAACGGTCATCCTATGCTTCTAGGCTTTTTATGATGGTCCAGCCTTAATTGACCCATGAATTCATTTATTAAATTACTAAAATCTCCTCAAAATCTTCCTTCTGATAATATGATATAACTGTTGGTAATGGTGTCTCATTTCTAAATAGGTTTCTTTTAAGTTGAATACATAATTAGTGATAGAATTAGTCAATAACCTTATATGATTTACTGTAAATTACTTAGCATAATGAGACATTTACATAATTGGAAGATACTACATTCAAAACTATAATCAATTAACCTAAATAGGTCAATAGTGAAATTTTTGACTTTAGTATTGGATGACATGGGTTCGAACATAATCTTCCTTCTTTCCTTCCTTCTTTACTTACTTACTTACTTACTTACATCTGTTACTCCTTGTCGAGGAGCATAGACTGCCCATATAATCTTACTAAGGATTACCAATATAACTTATTTACTCTGCTTTGAACTATACTACTTATATGACAAGTAGTTATCATTTTTGGTGAAGTAGAGTATAAATTTAAAACTTGAGCAGCTCAATCGTTTAATCATCATTCTACTTCAAAGTTTATCATTATCTCACAAAGTAAAGTATTGAGTAAATGAAACTTATCAGACGATTCAACTTAGAAATTCATTCTATTATATGCTTAATAGAGCTTCTAAATGTTTGTTTATTACAATCGTAACCAATGGTTCGAGATTCTGTGTGACATGGCTCGGAATCGATCACAATAGTGTAGGTGTGTACACTCTCTGTCTTCCCTTAAACTAAGAGAATAAAATCGCTTCATATCTTTCTTTCTACGAACTAATTCTTTCTTACTACCACTGAATTAACCACCTCTATGAATCCGGTATTCATTTTGTTGTGCTAATGAGTGAGGAATGGCAAATTGAACCGATGCACATGCGTGCCTGATCCTACGTTATAGCTGACTGACTGAGACGTTTTATAACATTTTGACCTAAAATTGACTAATCGAACTTAAAACTATTTATGTTAAACTGATGCCAGATTGTAGTGCCGTTTGTAAGGTCAGTTTTCTTTGGACTAAAGAATTTCAGTCAATTACCCAGTGTGATAATAATTATCTACTTATTGGTGACTAAGTATAAGAAGAACTGATGGTATTGAAATATATCATGGGTGAAATGGTTATCACTTTGCGGGGCATCATTGAGATGACCATGATTTATATAGCTGATTGATTTGATCCTAGTATATACAATGCGAGAATTGAAATGAATTCGATCTTGCATGTGTTCATAAATGTGTATTGCTGAATGGTTTAGGACCTCCAATCGCCTACTATTTCATCAATATGCATGCGTTGTCTAATCACTTAGACTAGTAAGCTACATTGGAACTTGACTGATTTGATTCAATCAGCATTACTAAAGGATTTGACAAATGTCACATTGACCATCACTCAGTGTTCAATCAATTGAAATTAATTCGCAAATTAGATCTGATCAAATAATTGTTTTAAGCATCAATTGTATTATGATATATAATTGTGACTTGGATTCCTCAAGGCCAAAGAAAGAGAGGAAGACCAAAGAACACATTACGCCGAGAAATGAAGACGGACGTGAGAAGAACGAACAACAATTGGATAGAACTAGAAAGGAAGGCTCAGGATGGAGTGCGTTGAAGAATGCTGGTCGACCGTCTATGTGCCATAAAGAGTAATAGGCGTAAATCCCAAATCCATATTAATCGTTATAATTCGATATGGGGGGGGGGTAATTTATATTATCATTAAATGTTTGAATTGAATGGATCGTTAAACTATACAGAACTTGTATAGAAAATCACTCAGCTAAATAGTATTCTTGTGTTCATCGGTGGTTAACCTTTAAGATGGATTTCACGAAGTTTACTTATGAAGTCTACCACATTGTAATTGAAAGGGTTACTCATCTCTGGCGCAGGATGATGGCCACATATTACTGTATATCTATACTGATGTGGCATAATATAAGTCATGAAATTCTGACATATATCTTAATAGCTATAAGACCGAAAGGTTTTGTTTGTTCATTCGTTAGCACTTCTATAAAGTTTTAAACTGGTTGTAAACTAGTTCATAGTCAATAATCAAAGTTCTTTTCAAACGTTTAAAGTTCAATAACTCTCAATAATCCGTTTGTTATAACTTATGCCCTGTGTTCTATCAATATTATAACGTAATGATACCGCCAATTAGAGAACAGTGATTTATCGACCGGACGAATGACGCATAAAACAAGTACGAGCAGTCTACAGTACTTATCGGTCCTTCTCCCTGCCTAACATTGCCTGTTAAGTCCAGAACACCACTATCAGCCTCCACGATACGAATCATTATATTTCAAACATACTGGGTTTATATACGAAACAAACAGACCACATCGTACGATAAAACAGGAAACAACATTTGTACAAGAATTAGCCAAATGTGGTTGTGAATATAGGAGACTGTAATGAATAGACTGGGCATAAATCAAGAATGGTAAATCGTATAATAATCATCTATGGATCAAAAGGAAGCTTACAATAAGAGGAATATGAATATGCATAGTTTAGTTACTTAACCAAATATACCTAAAGATTAGTCTACAAATGAATCTTAAAAGTTACCATTTATTATTCTCATTAGGATACAATACTGTTACTTATATCTATCAATATCTTTGGTATCCTAGAAATTCATTCATTAAAATCAACCTAACTACTGATCTTATATACTACTTATAAGTTCAATAATATCAATCAACAAAAAGAAAAAAATAATCAATATTGATTACATGGTGTTGTGTAATAAAACAGGTCGCATTATAAATGATAAAAATAGTTGAGTATACTAATCAATAGCTTAATGACAAATCACACAATAATCGATCATTTTTTTCTAAAAAAATATCAGTAAAACTGTAATGGTTATTATTGGATTTGTTATGGCTGATGATCTGACTCCAATTGAATCGTACGATGATTATGATCGGACTATACATCCTGACTACCCTCATGTATAATTATCGACTTAAATTGCGTTAGTGAATAATAGAATTAAAATAAGCGAAATACCTGAAAGGATAAGATGGCGGTTGGAGGTAGTCAACACGTAACCCTGCACCCAGGTTTCGTGCTACTTGGCACTCGTCAGTAAGATGTACCTGTAATCTTGAGGGGACTGATGCTCCCTGACAGATCTAATCCCGTGTCATTCAGCTTCACAGTCACAGAATTTACCATTGAGTTATCCGGAACATGAATGATCTCCTATATGAATGAAATGTATTTACAATTAGTTGATCACCACCCAGTGATCATTCAGCAAGAAAGGATTTTTGAATACGTATATTTTGTACAGTCGTTGGTTCAAACGAAAGAGCAAAGAAACGAAACGAAGAGAAGAGAAGAGCGAAAGGAAATAACGTACAATGGAGAGGACGAGTAAACCAACTCGATTTAGTCAAGCGTGAATCAATCTTGATAATGACACGAAAATAAACTACAGACATCTGATGAATGAGATAAGAATAGCACATACATACACTTACATAGAAACAGTCAAGACTGATAAACAAATAAATGACAAGGTCAAAATGTGACTACTTCAGAAGAATGAATAAATTGTCCTGTCCAAAAACTCGAATAAGTTATGTGCACTTAACATAGCAACTGACACTACGTCTGAGATACATGAAACTGAAGTAGCGTTTCCATTGAATGAATGACATAATTTTGTAGTTTTGTAGATGATAACTAAGATTCATCAAATTTAGGTAAATGGTAGAGCTTTTAGATTATTTTGACAGTTAGTTAGTTATAAACTGTATTCTGTTTGACACAGTAGTTCATCGGTATTAGTCACTACCCATAATATTAGTACAGTGAGAAAGAGAAGATCTATCAAAATGATAGTATTAGTATAGGGGTTGTGGAGATTACTAAGTTTTTTGATTGAGATCATGAACCGATTGATGTTAGACCACCTTTTGAAACCTAGAAGCACTGGAAGGCCGTTTTGTCCTTTGTGGGACTCATCAGCAGTGCGCGTCCACGATCCCACTAGCGGGACTCGAAGCCAGGGCCTTCAGTCTCGCGCGCAAACGCTTAACCAACTGGACCACTGAGCCGGCATCCAATGGTGATAGTTTCTAACATCAACCAATCCACGAAATTGCGTGACCAACTTCCATTGTACCTAAGTAGATAACTGTCTCTACCCGACAAGGATTAGCTCCACTGGTCACGGCTAGATTTGTGGAAATTATAGTATTTTCAAATTTGAACTCACGAATCAATCTAAGCTAAAACATGATTAAAAACCTGGAAGCACTAGATCACCGTTTCGCCTCAGTATGGGACTCTTCAGCAGTGAGGACCCATGATCCCGTAAGCGGGACAATTGATAACTGGATAATATGAATACAAATGTTCTTAGAAAAGATTAAGATTCAAAAATTGATGTCACTTTATAAAATGAATATAGTTTACTAAAGTTGGTAATAGTAAAATAAAACAACTTTATATAAGCAGTGAGAAACCAACTCACTGATGACAATGGTGTACGGTTGCGCAACTTTGTGGATTGATTGGAGTTGGACATAAACACCAATGGATGCCGGCTGAAAGGTCTAGTTGGTTAGGCGCCTGGCGCGAGACTGGTGTGTCCTGGGTTCGAATCTCGCGGGGTGCGGGGTGCGGGGTGCGGGGTCGTGAGTGGGCACTGCTGAAGAGTCCCATACTAGGACGAAACGGTCGTCCAGGGCTTCCAGGTTTTCCATGGTGGTCTAACTTTAATTGACTCATGATTCCAATGAGTGAAATTTCTAAAATCTCCACAAAACCCCTTCTGATAAACAGTATTTGCTTAATATCTATGTGATACTGATTGTGTAACTAAGCATGAACAAATTGTATATTGATAGTATATCAAGTCAAATACAATGTATAACCTGGTACATGTATACATTGTAATCTGCTAGCATAGAAATGACATTGTTGGAGTGAATTCTACCGAAGTAGAGAGAGGTCATAGAATAGGTAATAGATGAAGAAGACAAAAAGTCAATGTATATAAGCTACTGCAAACAATTTCAAGTGGTATCAGTCAAAAGCTTCAACTATTGATTAGGATAATCAAATGAACCCTAACCAGATAATATAGATCTGTTAAAATGATTCAATTCAATTATTAAAGTTTTCATAGTCTTATATCACATCTTGATACGATGGAATTCTTGATATTTATCGAAAATCGATTAATTTTGCTAATCAGTCAGTGGTTGTATCTTTAATTTATCATGAAATCAAACAAGGAAATGTATACAAAATGTTTAGGGTTCGAATCCATATGTTATTTATATTACATATTGTTAAAGACTTTCCTAGTTGATGACAATGCTTAGAGAAGACGACTATCTTTGTATATTGCATTCATTATTTGTGATAGGTATATGTCATGGTCACTATACATCAATTTGATTGCTTATGATAAGGCATTTGACAGTGTAGATAGGAGAACATTATGGAAACTTCTTCGACACCATGGAGTTCCTGAGAAGATTGTCAACATTAACCAGAACTCACTCGACGGACTACAGTGCAAAGTAGTGCATGGAGGACAGCTGACAGATCTATTCTAAGGAAGGACAGTAGTCAGACAAGGCTGTCCTTTCCTCTTTCTTCTGATGGTCAGCTGGATTATGAAGACCTCAACATCTAAGGAAAAACATGAAATACGATAGACAGCTCGGAAGCAATTAAACGATCTGCACTTCGCAGATGATCTAGCTCTCTTATCCCATACACAAGAAAAAGTACAGATGAAGACAACTTGTGTATCAGAAGTCTCTGCATCAACAGGCCTCAACATACACGAAGGGAAAACCAAGGTCCTCAAATACAACATGGAGAACACCAACCCAATCACATTTGGTGGCGAAATTCTGGAAAAGGCGGAATCCTTCACATAACTGGGAAGCATCATCGATGAACAAGGAGGATCAGATATAGACGTAAAGGTGAGGATTGGCAAAACAATAGCCACATTCCTACAATTGAAGAACATATGCAACTCAAAACAACTCTCAAACAATATCACAGTGAGAATATTCAATCCGAACGTCAAGGCAGTTCTACCGTAGGGAGCTGAAACTTGCACAACTACTACAATCATCATCAAGAAGGTACAAATACTAATAGATAGTTGTCTATGCAATATACTCAACATCGATTGGTCGGATACCATCGGTAACAGCCTTCTGTTGGAGAGAACAAACCAGCTTCCACCTGAAGAGGAAATGAGGAAAACACGATGTAAGTGGATAAGATACACATTACACAAATCATCAAACGGCACCACGAGACAAGCGCTGACTTGGAATCGTGAAGGCAAGCGGAAAAGTGGAAGGCCAAAGAACACATTACGTTGGAAAATATAATCAGATATGAAAGGATGAATAACAATTGGAAAGAGCTGGAAAGGATTGTCAAAGACAGGGTTTGATGGAGATTATTGGTGAGCGGCCAATGCTCGTTCACGAGGAGTAACAAGCGTAATTAAGTAATTTGTCATTGTTCTACCATAATTCTCTCTAATAAGGATGTGAGGACGGTTTACGGGTGAACTCATTGAAGCTTTAAGAAGTTCAGAAAGAACCAAACACGTTCCATCTAATCATCTTTTGGAAGAATATTCCAGAATTTCTAAGTATAGTTTCTCTATTGAAAAAATGCTATAAACTCCCAAAATGGTGATTTCACTTTTACTAAAACTTATAAATACCTAAGAGTTTTGTATCATATTTGACACAGTTTAGAATAACATTCCTTCTCAATCATTTTCTATCTTCTCATTTGACACTTAGAGGGTTCTAGCATTCAACTACTCAAATTGTATACGGTATATCAAGGCTCTCAGCTCTAAATGTAACAATGTTCTTGTTAATCAGTATGAGGTTTTTTTAAAAAAAGATGACAGCACATTCTATTCTATTTCATAACTTACATCATCCATAACATGAATGACACGTCATGTCATATATCATGTGACAGTCAAGTTAATACTAACAAATTATTCAGTCATTAGTAGGTCTTGTAAAACTATGATCACAGACATCCCTAGTATGGTATTCCAGTCGTCAGGGCTCTACAATCATAATGCCAATTATACAATTATAAATGAATTCTTAGTATGAATCTGAATTTTATGTTATTTGAAAACTGAATGATCAGTTATGAAATAATGGAGAAGATTTATAGCTTAGGTGAATGATTTCGATGTAGTTTTATTCTATGAGCTGGATGGTTTGCTCGTGAAGCTTTCATCGCCCTTCTGAACGACACCATCAGCACAAAGTTCAGGAAGTTGTCATTTATGAAGATGTAAAGTATTTGAAGATTGTTTCTTTATTCATATCTGTGATAGATGGAGTTCAAGAATATCAGTAATGAGATGTGCATGTATCACTGAGAGCTGAATGAATATCAAAATGCTAATCAATGGATTCCAACTTTGGTGATCTAAAGGGAATGAACTCATCAATGAGACTTAAACATACTTGATATTATCTCTAGTAAGTCCACAAGTACTCACCTCTATGTAATCATGTATTAAGATGGCATATAGATCGATTGGTTTGTTGTTCTCAATTGTTTTACATTTGATTCTTGTCCGTAATGAGTAGTATCTTTAAGATAATGATTATGATTATGTTTTAAATCTTATGAATGATTTTGTACAGAGTGAGCCATTTAGACGGTAAAATACATTCTTATGAATTGTTTACCAGTATCAGTGATAAAGTTTATTTACCATAAGCTAACCATGATATTCAAGATTAACGCACTGAACTGTTTGAATATTCAATGAAGGAAGTTGAAAGATGATTATGTAAACATGGATTGAAACCAAAAAATATTATTGATTGTAAATTGATCTGTTCATTAATGAGAATTATATTGACTATGATAATTAAACATGATCAGTTCATGTTAGGGGTAACTTTTAAATGATCAAGAAATGAAGTGTAAATAGAAACAAGAAAACTATCTAGAGGTCCATGTTTACCAACTATATACTTGTGTACACTTATATTTATTTGATACATTTCAGTCAATTAGACAGTCAACTAAAATGTAGGACCAGGCATATATGTGCATCGATCCAAGTTTTCATACCTCATTAGCACAACAACGTGAACACCAAATTCATAAAATTAGTTAATTCAATGGTGGAAATATATAAAAGAATAATTGAACATAAGGATATAGTACAGGAAGAAAGAATTAGTTCATAGAAAGAAAGATATAAAGTAATTTTAATCTCATATTTTAAAGGAAGATAGAGAATGTATACACCTACACCATTGTGATCGATTCTGAATCATTTCACACAGAGTCTCAAATCATTGGTCAGGATAGTCACGCGGACCCCAACCAAGTTGTCTGCATCTACCAACATGGCTGAGGCCAGAGGTTAGTGACTTCAAGCACTGATGCCACGTGTTGGTTTGGCCGCCCCTAACGTTCTTCCAACCATCTCCAATACCGAATAGCATTGCACGTCGTGGTAATCGGTATTCAAGCATACGTAACACGTGGCCCAACCATCTCAGTCGACGAAGATTCATAACCTCATCAACTGATTTACCATCATTTCCTAATACCCTGCGTCTATTATTATTATTATTATTATTATTATTATTATTATTATTATTATTATTATCAGCTTTATTCGATATTATATTTTTGGTACAATATAGAATTCTCAGCGTAAAGTATTTCAACAAGTTTCCGTTTCTTTCGTCTTGGTCGGTCCTGTCGATAAATATTGAGTGATCGCCAGTTAGGTGTTAGCAGTCCAGTAAATGAACATCTGAATAATGTATATTCTTTTCTCTGCATATTGCCAGCGACCACATTATCTCTTATTAGGCTCTTTGTAACTTTGACAATGAAAGGTTGTACACTTTTCAGAAATGCACCAGGATAGGTTAATAAACATAATGATATATTAAAACAAACAAAAATAGATAAATTGTTGATATATCTAGATGGCAGGAACATGTAGCCCAGATGTTCAAGCAGGCCGCCCTAACCTCACTATTACTTATCCGGTAATCAGTGTTCAGGCATACGTAACACGTGGCCCAACCATCTCAGTCGATGAAGACTTACAACCTCATCAATTGATTTATCATTATTCTCTAATACTCTTTGTCTAACCTGCAAATTACTTATTCGATGATTCCAGCAGATGTGAGTGACATTTCTAAGATATCTGTGGTCAAACACTAGTAGCTTACTAGTATCTACTACTCGTAAAGGACACGGTTCGCAGCCGTTAATTAGAATATTTCATCAGGTGTATACAACCACGCGGTCTAGCCATCTCACTCGATGAACATTTACAACTGAAGATACATTTCAGTAGTAAATATAATTCTGTATCAAAATTTACTCTAATCATAAGAAAATTTAGGAAATTCTTTAAGAAATTTTCTAGTAAAATAATTGATCTTCAGCAAAACATAAACATGAAACCACATGGATACAACTGAATTCTATATTTTTTCAAGGATAATAATAATAAGAAGATAATCACTGATCATTCATTAAGATTATTTCTACGGTCTCAATATAATTAAAGTATACTACTCATTACTTTATCATAAAACTTTAAGAATTTCCATCTAGAAATGTACAATAATCATGATAGGACCTTTAATGTAATTCATGTTTTAAAAGGTGTATGCTTGGTAATGAACAAGTATAAATAGAGACAGACATTAGAGGAATGACACAACGATTGGATAGAACTAGAAAGGAAGGTTCAGGAAAGAGTGGGTTGAAGAATGCTGGTCGGCGGTCTGTACTCCACTGGGAGTAACAGGCTTAAGTAAGTAAGTAAGTGATATGATGGGAAGAAAAGTTAGAATTCGATTGATTTAGTGATTATTTTATGTATAGTAATGTTAATAACAATGATAAGAAACTCCGCCTGGAGTCCCTCCGCAGGAGGGTTGGGTATGAGGTTAGCGATCCCATCCCGTAGAAAACTAACTCGCTAAAAAAACGCTAACCAGAAAAAAATTATTCAAACCACTTAAACTCTGCCCTGGGAGTTAGAAGGTCTTCATTTAAAAGAGTTATGACGCCTCATGATGAAAGCCGACTTCCTTCGGAAGTCGCGATGCTGATGCCCCTTCTGACAACCAGATTAACTATTTATTTAGGTACATAGATGTAACAATGATAAGAAAAAGGAAAGAATGATTATAGACTTACCTTTAAGTTCAGAATTGATTCGTTTAATCGATTGATTCATTCCATTATTCAATGGATTAGATTCATCTTTCTGTGTATTATATTCATTAGATATAGTTTTATTCAAATGAGATATCATTGAATGAGAATTAGATGATGATGATGATGATGATGATGATGTTTCAGTCTTTGATAGATCCATTGTATTCAATTGAATATCATTGGGTTTAACTATAGTTAAAGGAATTTTTGGTGTTTGTAATCCAGCTGTTTTACATGAGAAACCTTCTATTTTATTACGATGATTATCCTTATCCATTGAAGTATTATTATTATTATTATTATTATGGTTTAATCCTAACCATGTTTCAGTTAGATTTGGTATTGTATATTCATAAAATAAATAACCTTGTTCAGTCATAGCAGTACGACATTTAATAAGACTTAATTCATTATCATATGGACATTGATTAGGTATTTCGCCGACACATGCAGATTGACAATTATGAAAACAAAATTTACCCCATGGGGCTATAGGACATTGAAAGAACATACTATAACCATTAAGTATTTATTATTATTATTATTATTATTATTATTGTTATTGACTTCTAATTGTTTATTATTGAATGAATGAACTTCACAACGTATTATTAATGGTTGATTTAATTGTACTTGATTAGACGATGGATTAAAACTTATCATTAATGGTGTATCTGATTCAATGTCTAATGGGTTACTATAAATGATAATAATTCCATAGATTATTAGTAATAATAATGAAAGAATCATTTCTACAATTGAATGTAATGAATTTGATCTTGAATGATACAACATGGTCTTCTTCTGCTTCTTCTTCGTAGAAACTGGAACACTTCAATTAGTTGTTCTTCGTGCTCTTATCATGTAAAGTATATGATGGATAAAATAAGGTATTTCATTGAATTTAATAAAGGACATAGTAACTAATTTATAATTTAGTTATTCCATTAGTAATTTGTTTCTATGCAAAACAAAAAAAATTTTTTTCTGTCATAAACTAAGAGAACAGACGACAATTTTGTATTTTAGATCCAGCACATACGATTTTTAAAAAAATCATCTCTTTCTCCAGAAAAGTTATTCACATGTTGTTCACACTACAATAAATGATCATCATTGAAAAATGATAATAAGCAACAGAGTCTTTTCTTTTTTTTGAAAACCCACCTCCCCCTCCTCCAAAGAAACCTTACTACACCATACTACAGCATAGCATAGCACAGCACAGCACAGCACACGCATACACGCACAGACACACACACACACATCAGTGTCATCACCAATACCAACCATTATGTGCTTTAAAAATTAACCAATTAATTTGTAGGGTGGAAAAAATAGTGATGCGTGGGCGTCCGGTACATTATTATGGTTAACAAATAATAGTAACATCAATATGTTGAATGATTTATTTGATTATCACTTTTTTTGTTGTTGGTTAGACAGAATTTTCAATGTTCATCTTAGTGAGGGATAATTCTGTTTTAAAATCATCAAATGGATAAGGAATACTATCAAGAAATTGAAGTATTCAATGGAAGTATATTTCAATTGAATTTGAATATGAAGTGAAAGATTTTAAGTGAGACGATAATTTATGGTTGATGTGTTGAGCGATGCCAAGATAATCTTGAAATTGTCCACCTAATAACTAGGATTAAATGAACACCGATTACCACGATGTGCAATGTTGATTAGTGTAGGGGATAGTTAGAAGAAAGTTAGGGACGGCCAAACCAACACGTGGCATCAGTGCTTGAAGTCACCAACTTTTAGTTTGAGCCTTGCTGGTAGATACAGACTACTTGATTTGGATCTGCGTGACTATCGTAACCAATGATTGGAGACTCTGTGTGACGGCTCAGAATCGATCACAATGGTGTAGTTGTACACACTTTCTATCTTCCTTTAAACTATGAGATTAAAATCGCTTTATATCTTTCTTTCTACGGACTAATTCTTTCTTCCTGTACTATATCCTGATACACAATGTTCTTTATATGTATTACTACCATCTTGTTGTTCTAATGCGGTATGGCAACTTAGATCAATGCATATATACCTGGTCCTACATTTTAGTTGATTGACTGACTGGCTGAGCTATAATGCTGAAACCCCATTTAAGCAAATGGTTGATTGAATTTCGGGCTAGATGAGGGGCGAGACTATAATTTATAGAAGGACCAATCACATTCAGGATAATAGATTTCGGATTTGGGATCGAAATTCATTCATCCATTTGGGTAAAAAGCGTTTTGTCATTTTAGTTGATGTCAGTAAGTGATGAAAAACCGTAAACCTAATTCCTAACTCTTAACCATCAACTATAAATCATAATCCTTATTCTTCATGCAGGTTTATAACTTTCATATTTAGTCGCAGCAAGTAAGGTGGACATTCTTAAGGTCATTTTGGCGTCGCTCGAAGGTCGTCCATAAATTATAGTCTCACCTCTTTGTGATTTTTGTTATTGTAGTGAACGAACACTCACGTGGGGGCAATCAATTTATTTTTAGTACACACAGTACAGTACGATTGATTCATTACAGTAGGTGAGATAGGCCACCACGTCAAAGTAGCAGTAACGGTCGGTGATAAAATTTGAGAACCATACATTGAATACTTTCGGTGAGAAATTCCATTATTTGTCCTTCACATTCTATATGATTCTTCAAAATCATGATTCTTATCTATTTCCATTTCTGTTTACTTCAAAACGATCTTCAAAGCCTACTGTTGCCATGCATTTCTCTATTGATTGGCGTCACATACTACGTATGTCGACAGGTATAAGTAGCATACACCACATTTTTATCACTGAACTGACAAACAAGTTTTACCTTCGTTACTTTGATGTTTGTGTTTTCTGTGCGATCCGAATTTCATTATTTCTTAATTTATAAGGTAGATTGATATCTATTAGATAATCTAATGGATCTTTGATTCACAACTGATCTCATTATGAACTTGAAGGTAAGCAAATATACTTCAGGATTGATACGTTGATTCTAAACTACAAGTAAGCAATTGCTATCACAATATAATTTAATGAAATTGAATTCACATTCACTTGATTTTGTATACCTGAATCTTCCCATTCATTTTTAAGACTGCAGATTGATCAGTCTCTTATTGGCATATGTGTAGCTTGTGCAGATTGCCCGGATATTACTTTCATTTACAAGCATTCACTCTGGGATGCAGGTACACTAAGCTGACGAATCCCAAATAGGAAGAAACACGTAGTCTGGATTTCACTGCCAGCCACTATTCATTTTTGCTTAAAATGCTCGTGACTTAAGGCAATATCAAGGCAATCTGCATAAGTTGCATATATGCCAATAATAAGAGACTGATCAATTGTAGACCTAAACAACAATGGGAAGATACAATTAAACAACAATACCAAGTGATTTCATGCAACTGGTTCCCTTTATGAATTTAAATAAAGCAAGAACAAACATTTCGAGGTTTCTCGTCAGCTGCTTACAAGCCAAAATTATGATAGAATTTTTACATGGAGATAGAGTGAAACCAAATGACATAGATGAGTGTAAATAACTGGGTTACAATAATAACTATATATATATATATGCTAGAAACAGGTCAGAGGTCAAAAGAGGGGGGTTAATCCAGGGTGGGTGGTGTAATAATTCAGTGAAGTTCATAAATTGTGTGATAATTGTAGTGATTAATGGAATTAATTAACGATAAGGTAGATTACGTAATAATAATTAAATAAGGTTTGGAAAGTTAAGATGATTTAAGAGGATCAAGTGGTGGAAATGTGTGAATAAAATTTTTTAGTTTAAAAATTAGGTTATACGGGGGGGGGGAATATAAATTATCTTAGAATAAGTAACTGAATAAAATAATCAAAACACAAAACAAACAAACAGAAACAAAAGTGATTACCAGGGTAGTGATAAGTTTATTAAAGCCATTGCAATTAAGAAACTGAAACCGGACTTATGCATCCAAAAACAGACTTTAATAAACTTATCACTACCCTGGTAAACTTTTTGTTTCTGTTTGTTTGTTTTGTGTTTTGGTTATTTTATTCATTGACTTATTGTAAGATTTAAAACAATTAATCCCTTTGATAAATTTCGATAATGCAATGAGAAGACTTAGTTTATCAGAATTATGTGATGATAGATTTGCGCAATACATTTCGAACAATCTGATCACACATCATCTACTTGTTAAGAACATTTATATATGAAAACTTAAAAGATCATCGAGACAGGTTAAGGGTAAGTCATAACAAAGGAAAACATATTAAAGTACACAAAAACAAATGTGATCACCACTCTGGATAGTAAATCAGTACTACCAGGGTAGGTTAAGTGTAAGTACAAATTGTTTTTGAACACATAAAGGGGGTTTCAATTTTCGTATAGCCAAGGCTTCAATAAACCTTAGTATACGTCCTTGAAGGCTTTTGTACAACACAACAAATGCTGATTTGATATCAACCTTATGACCCGTCTCAATCAAATGTTTCGCAATGGATGATGATGTCTGTCTATCCTGTGATCTTATTTCACCATTGGAATTCATCTGATTCTGCAACCATTTTGGTATGTGCTCACCCACCCTTAATTGCAAATCACGATTGCTCCTCCCTACGTACGTGTTTCCACACATACATGTGAATTTGTAGACACAATGGGATGTGACACAATCGTTTTCATGCTGTTTGGGCTTTTGGTGAAACATCGACCTTGTCTTTTCGATAATGACAAGTCGGGCTGCATAAAATGTCCGGCTGATAGCTAATTTAAGTCTCTGTTTCAATATGAAACTATTTGTGTCACCTCTGAATGGTAGCGCAATATAAACTCGCTTTTTGGGTGCCAGAAGCGTCATAGGTCTAGTCATATTGCATCCCTTCCAGCGGTTTATGAACTTCAAAGGGTAACCATTATTGATTAACGCATCAGTCAAGAGCTTCACCTCTACTTCAATAGTATCACTAGTACAAATACGATTGATTCTATTGAATAAGCTCTTTATTAAACCACGTTTATAATGAATAGGGCAGTGACTATGAAAATTAAGATATTGTCCTGTCCATGTTGGTTTTCTATATGTAGCACGTTTAATGGACCCATCATCTCTCCTAGTAATCAGGATGTCAAGAAAAGGAAGTTGGTTGTTCTTTTCTTCCTCACGTGTAAGAGAAATGTGCTTTTGACTACTATTGAATTCTTCTAACAAGCGGCTTATGTCTTCAATTTTATCATCTATGATTATTATGTCATCTACATATCGTTTATACAGACTCATCTTTCGAATAGAGTCTCCAACTAAATTTTCCACATATCCCATGAACACATCAGCTAGCAATGGTCCTAGAGGGCTGCTCATAGCTACACCATCTATTTGTCTGAAGTGTTCACATCTTCAAATGTGAATTTTACATTATCTGTACATAATAATAATAATAAGTCTTTAAGAGTTTTAACAGGAAAAGGCAGTGGAAGGTTTTTCGAGGAAATAAAGTCA